TCTTGGTCACTCTTGTAATAGAAAAAATGACAAATACAGTAAAGAAAACTTGTATTTCAGTGATTTGAAGTGGCTGAGGTTTATTCATTTCATGGCAAGTTTATGATCTGGTGTTTGTGAATGGTTAGACACACGAGCATTAGGAAGGAGAGGAGAAATCCCAAATTACTTTTTTTTCTTTTTTTTCGGTATTTTCCCAGAATTCCATTTTGGATGCTCTGATGATCTACAGGAAGTCTGAGTTCCCAATTTAACACTTCGGTTAAGTTCTTAATGTCGAATGATACAAAAGTTCATACTGTGAAAGTAAATCATAGAGTCACAGAATCATAGAATGGTTTGGGTTGAAAGGGATCTTAAAATCATCTAGTTCCAACCCTTGCCATGGGAAGGGACATCTTTCACTAGACCAAGTTGCTCAGAGCTCCATCCAGCCTGGCCTTGAACACTTTCAGGAGTAAGGCATCCACAACTTCTCTGGGCAACCCATTCCAGTGCCTCACTACCCTCACAGTAAAGAATTTCTTCCTAATATATAATCTAAACCTTTTCTCTTTCAGTTTGAAACCATTCCCCCTTGCCTTATCACTAAATTTGCTTTGTCAAGGCTCATACAGGACTAATTCAGCCTTAATCTAGAAATCTTCTTCTTGTGTGTTGCAGTAACATGCAAGTAGGTGGAAACTTCGATTTTTCTGAAGTGTAACTTGACTGGAGAAAATCCCTGCCTTTGGTGTGTTGCCTAGTTCTACTGCCATCCTCCATTTTATCCCTGGGAAAATACCTGGTTTAACTTTCAGTGTGAAGCTCTGCTGATCAATATGTTACAAGCATAGTAAAGTTCAAGAAATTGCCTCCATTACTATCTTGAGATGAGAAATTGATTTAGCTGCATTCTCTCTCTGTTAATTCATCTGTGTTTTACCTTCCCATAAAAGGTATTATGTGCTCCTTATTTTCCAGCAGTGTCATCAATCCTAATGAAGAGAGAGGACTGAAAATTTATATTGTGCGTATGGGATAGCCAATCTCTGACTTAGGTCTTAATTTGTAAATGTTGCTGTAGGCTTCACTTCTCAGCTTTCTCTTACTGTGCTTTGCTTGTATGCAAAATCTAGGGGCTGGGATGGAAGCAAAACTGAAGAATATGGCAAAGGAATATAAAATTAGATTGCTTTTTAATCTAAACTTCAAAAAATGAGATGCTGATTAAAATTTAATGAAAAGAATTAAAACCTCATTTGTGAGTTTTATGTACTTTTGTAGTGTTTGGTCCTGAATTAATTATGTTGGGACTGTTTTCAGTATTTATCAGCCATCAGTTCACTACCTCTGGCTCCAAAATGCCCAGAGTTTTATTTTTTAACTGTGATATTATGTATGAGAGCTTTGCACGTATCTGATAATTTATGTACACCTGCATATAGGTGTTATTGTAGCTCTAATGATGAGAGTAGTATAGTGGGAAAAGCAGCAAAAACAAATAAAAAAGACAGAAAAGGGTTTTCCTGGGCATTCCTGTTGTTTTTCCTGGCATCCATCGGCCTGGCCTCTTGCAGGAAGCTACCAGGGATGGTTTGTCTGCAGAATATTTTGGCATTTTTAGCCTTAATACGAGCATTTGTTGTTCAGAGCAGATGGATAATTGAAAAAGAAAGCAAACCTATATACTGTGACTTCGGTTGCGGCTCATGATCACACAGAATAACACAGAATATGCTGAATTGGAAGGGACCCACAAGGATGATGGAGTCCAGCTCCTGGCCCTGCGCAGGACTATCCCCAAGAATCACACCATGTGCCCAAGGGTATCATCCAAATGCTTATTGAACTCTGGCAGGCTTGGTGCTGTGACCACTTCCCTGGGGAGCCTGTTCCAGGGAATATCTAATATCCAGTCTAAATATCCAGTCTAAACCCCCTGACACAACTTCAGGACATTCCTTGGGTTCTCTCAGTGGTCACTACAAAGAAGAGATCAATGTCTGCCCCTCCTCTTCCCCTCACAAGGAAGTTGTAACTGCAGTGAGGTCTCCTCTCAGTCTCCTCCAGGCTGAACAGACCAAGTGCCCTCAGCCGCTCCTCGTATGGCTTCCCCTCAAGCCCCTTCACCATTTTCATTGCCCTCCTTTGGACACTCTCTAACAGCTTTATATCCTTCTTATACTGCAGTGCCCAAAACTGCACACAATATTCAAGGTGAGGGCACCCTAGTGCAGAGCAGAGCAGGACAGTCCCCTCCCTTGACCAGCTGGCGATGCTTTGCCTGATGCCCCCCAGGACAGGCTTGCCCTCTTGGCTGCCAGGGCACTGCTGACTCATAGTCAACTTGCCATTGACCAGGACCCCCAGGTCCCTTTCTGTGGCACTGCTTTCTAGCATCTCATTCCCCAGTCTGTACGTACATCCTGGGTTGCCCCATCCCAGGATATAGCAGTTACTTTTTTAAGATTAAATTTAAATATATTGGCAAGTTCCAAACAGTTACGTTAAACTGGGACAAAAAACCCCCAGCATTTTGTTGCTTGGCTCCACTGGTGTTAACCTCGGGTTTTCTGTGTGTGTCTGAGTATTTCCTGTTACAAACAGAAATGGTACACATACGTCTGTTGTCTAGAACATTTAGTATGCCTGTTACAGACCTGGAGGTGTTAATTACCAGTATAAAAACCAAGTCAGGTATGGCACCGTGTACATGTGAATTTATTAAAACTTATCTTATTTTGACAAAGAGGTAAATTCATGGATTTGCTTAGAAAAGTTGTAAGCAGGTGGGATGCAAGCAGGTTTGTGTTTGGGGACGTTTGTAGCATTTCAGCTCGTGTTTGCAGCAGGATGTGGATGTGCACAGATTTTAGTTACTGGGGCTCAATGCGGTAATGTTTCAAGCAAAAACTTGCTTAGATCCAAGAAACTCCATATATCCCTGGGCGATGCTACCAACATTTGCCATCAGCTCAGATTTTCTGTTGAAGAAGTATGTTTTAGGCAGGTCAGGCCTTTTAAGGGGCTTCACTGTTTCTCATGGTGCGTGTTTTGATGGGTTGGTGTCTGGATTGTGTGGTGGACCTGTCTGTTTTCTGTGGGCTTGGGCCAAGGTGAAGGGGGAAGCAGAGGCTGGCATTGGGCAGGACAGGGGAGCTGCTTGGATTTGTGTTGCTGTTTGACTAAGGGAGGGCACTTGTTCTGTGCTGGACTTGGGGTGCAACTTCTTGCACTATGTAGTAGTGTCACAGTGCTTGGGACTTACTATCAGAGATTTTAAAAGAATAATTTAAGCAAGTGAATCTAGCATGAAGGTGAGAGGAAGTAAATGCTGATGGACCTCACTGAGGTTATCTGTGATCATTCCTACATTTTTCTTCTTAAGCCTGGAATGATTTTCCAAAACCATCAGGGCTCAGTGTGAATGATGAGTTTTCCATTGATATCATGGAGCTGTGAATTGCACCCTAAGCTTCCAGGCTTGTTTTACAGAATCGCAGAATACCAGGTTGGAAGGAACCTCAAGGATCATCTGGTACAATCCACAAGACCTTGAATGTCTTTGTGGTGCTCTGTAAGGTTCTTGTTAGCCCACTCTTCCAGCCTACCCAGGTCTTCCTGCAGGGTGGCTCTCCCTTCCAACGCGTGTGCTTCCCTGCTTAGTGTGGTATCATAAGAAAACTTTATCAGGGTACACTTATGCCATCTTCCAGATCACTTATGAAGGTATTAAACAGTGATGGGCTCAGTGTTGGTCCCTGGGGGACCTCGCTTGTGCCAGGTTGCCATTTGGAAAAGGAGCTATTTACCACCATTCTCTGGGGCCACCTGTGAGCCAGTTTCCCACTGACCACATGGACCACTTGTCCAGACTGTAACGCAGCAGTTTCTCTAGAAGGAGGCTGTGGGAAACTATATGAAAGTGTTGGAGAAATCCAGGTAGATAATGTCTACTGCTTGCCCCACATCAACAGCTTTGTTGTAGAAGGCGATCAAGTTTGTCAAGCACAATTTGCCCTTGGTGAATCCACGCTGGCTTTTCCCAGTCACGTGTTTCATTTGATTTGTGATAACCCCCTGCAGGATTCGTTCTGTAACTTTCCCAGGGACTGAAGTATGGCTGATGGGCCTGTAATTTCTCGGATCCTCCTTTAAGCCCTCCTTGTAGATGGGAGTGACATTAGCCACCTTCCAGCCTTCTGGGATGTCCCCCAATCTCCATGACTTCTCTAAGGTTATGTAGAGTGGTCTCACAGTGATGTCAGCCAGCCTTCTTAATACCCTCAGGTGCTGAGGGCCTTTCCTAAAAGCCATCTAGGCAGCAGCATTTAGAAAAACAAATGTGTTGTTTTCATTTAAATAATTTAAGATGCCTTGTCTAGATATCTCTTCTGCACTGGGTGACAGCCTGATTGTTATCTCCCGCATCTTTGACTGTCATTAATCCCTCCCTTCCTGATTTCTCTACCTTCTCTTGTTTGTGTGATACTCATCATGTAGGTTGCAAGCTCTGGGCCAGCAAATCTCCTCTCCATAAGAGAAGCCACTGGGTTCTGTCAATGCAGCCTGGGATGCTGTGAAATCTTTATAGTCTCTGCAGTAGAGGCAAGATGTTGTTTTATTTATTGCATCAACAAAGCCCATTCCTCATTTTGCAGCAGGTGCCAAGCTGAGTAAAAAGTAAAGATTCATTTACTTGTATTTCAGTCTTTATTTGAGGGACTGTGGATGTATCAATTCCAGAGATTTGACAATGAAGCAGTCTCTCACTGTCAATATGGGAAAGGGATTCTTGGTGGTTCTTTAAAGGAGTTGCATCCTGCTGGATGTCCTCTGCAATAGTGACTTAAAGGAGAGAGTAACCTGGAGATACTCTTTTGAATAGAAGTTAGTATTTTGTTGTGTTACAATAGGAAGCTCATGGCCACAGGTCTGCTCGTGCTTTGGGCCAAGCTGGTGATAGAAGATAGTCACCTGTGGAGAAAAACTAATTTGCATTCTTTTGCTCTGTTTAGATACATCACTCTGAGATCACAGAATGACAGCAGCATGAAATGTTATGGCAAAGAGAGCACAACAAGATACAAGAATCTCACAAATGCTCAAAAATCAGGTAATGTTGCAGCATCATATGTCCAGTTTCTCTAAGGCTGGCTTGTTTAATAGATTCAATGCTTTTTGACTGTTTACCGGAATTTGGGCTTCTGAGTCTCTGATTTTATTGATGGGCTTCTCAAATATGATTCGTTGTGCATTGGCCTTGTATCTTGTAAAATATTATTTCACACTATGTATGACACAGGAGATACACACACATTTATATCTTTCTTAAGGGACTAGTTTGGCTGTGTTGTCTCATACAAGCAAAAGGACATTACCTTAATTTGAAAAAAAAGCAGCAGTTATGGTGGTCAGTTCTGCATAACCATTTGGCCTGGTTCCGTTGCTAGATACCAACATGCTGTAGTTTAGAGGGGTGGACTTTCAGAGGGTCCTGCAGCTGCATTTCTGAAAACTCTTTTGGGGGAGACACCAGGCTCAAAATAGCTGTTCCCTCCCCACTGAGAGCTTAGACATATGCTATTTTCCACATACTACTACTTCTGCTTGTTTTTTTAAATTATTTATCTGTCTCAGGATGTTACCTCCTTGCTTGTTTTTGTAAATCCTAGCATATGTTCTTTGACTGTTTCAGAGCATTTACAGTTACAGAAAAAAAGCAGTCACATTACACCCTACAGAACGTAAACACTGCAGAGGTCAGGAAGAAACTGGTCACGTGTGTTACAAGGATGCTCACCTTGAACTAAAATTGTATATGCTTGTCCTGGCTGTGGTAACAGCAGTAGCTGATGCATTGATGTCTGAGTGAAAAGGCTTAAAAATTGCTCTCCGTCCCACATATCAACAGCAGGGAGTAACAAGTCACTCAGTTCAGTAATAGAAGGAAACTAAAATATGAAGTTGAGGGCAATTTTGCTAATAGGACATGTCTATTTTCCAGGAAGCATTTGAGAATATTGCCCTGAGCAGAAGGGACTATGATTTATGTCATCTAAGCAGTCAGTAAACCCAGGCTGGCTGAAGAAATTTCAAATAAAGTTTCACAGACAGCTTCAGCCTTAATCAAATATGCAGTAATGTATTAGTGAATATTAAAAAAAATAAACTACTGTGTTTATCACTTGAATTAATGCTGTCTTCGGTATGCTTTTAGTCAGTTAGTCATGGAATATGCAATTCAAGTCCCCTTCTGGCCTTAGTCAAGGCTTGTCTTTTATTTTTATTTTTATTTTTAATCAGTATTGTGAGGAGATCACATAATTTTACATTTGCCATTTTTTATGAAGTAATGTGATACCTGCTTCAGTTGCAGTTCTCCAAAGCCTTCAGAGTACCTTGAAACTGTAACACCAACTCACTGACAGCAAAGATAATCAGATTTATTGAAACAACCTTCTTCGTTTCTTTGGGACTCATGAAATTGTATCTCCCTTAAACTAAATTCAGTTAATGGCTTTATTTAGAAATCAGCCTCCTCTTCTTGAATAACCAGAATTCTGTTAGTTTGGGGGAAAAAAAGGTTTTCATTAAATTACCACTACCTCAGAATGCATTTTCTACTTACAGCTTAGATCAAAAAGAGAGGAAAATGTTTCTTCTTGTTTGTCTTCCTTTCTCCTCCCCCTTTTCTAGAGACTTTCCTGAGATGATCAACTGTTGGTTTTGCTGTTGGTTTTTTTTGGTTGTTGTTGTTGCCTTTTTTTAAACTTCATTGAAGTAGAGAAATTGCTCGGTTCCTCTCCCAATGCCATCGTTGTTCTCCCCTCCCCCAAGTCCAATGTGTTCTTTATTAAACTGAATTAGGACATTCTAGTCACTCTTAAGAGTGGAAATGGGAACAGCTTAAATGAGCAGCCACATGAGACTCAGCAGCCTTTCCAACTGCACTGCAGAAGAAGCTCAGCTGCAAAGGGAATGATAATTTTTGAAGGATTTGTGCAACTGTTGAAGAATTACCAGCATTAATATTAAAAAGCAGCTAATCTGTTTTTCCCTTCCATTTTAAGAGTGTATAGCTTTCTTAGTATGCTTGCTAGAAAAATCAGTCTGCTAAATATTTTGCTTCTTTCCAATCATGTTCACTTTTGTAATGCCTTTATTTGCGTACTTTCTTGTATACTGAAGTGAGGGGTTTTTGTTGGTGCTGGTTTTGCCTACAAGTGCTAACCTTGGGGTTTGTAGACAGATATGGGCATGGGTTTGAGATCTCTGCCATCCAAACCCAACCGAAATTGAAATGCAGTAGAAACCATGGAAGAGTTGTATCCAGGATTTGGATGAAAAGGTTTTCATCCCTGTAAGCATTTGTCCTTGAGACAGCTATAGAAAATTATTGGTCCTTGAAATCCATATTGCTGCTAGTTTATTCTAACTAAAGTAGCCATGGTCCTGATACCTTTTGACCCTTGTTTCAGTCTCTGCTTCTCTTTATTGCTATATCAGATGTCTTTGGGGTTTCTGTAGATACTTTTAAAAAAAGTAGATCTTTGAGTTATCGTCTCACCTCTCCTTCCCTTTTCCTCTCTGCTGGTTCACCCAACCACCTTTCTTGGCGTTAGAAATTATTCATTCTGTTTGCGCACTGTGCCACTTTTTTTCACAGGCTTATTTTCTGTGCCAAAAAAAAAAAGAAATGGAGCTGGGGCTTGAACTATGGCTACATGAAAAATTATAAGGACAAACCTGGTAACTAAACAGTCTGCAAAAGCATGGGAGTCTTTGAAATATGCCACCCTTCCTCTCCCAGTTCTGTGCTTCTCAGCCTTCCAGCACTACTCTCGTCTGAAGATATAGGGGTAGTGCCAGCCTCACACCTGAGAGCTGGGTTTAAGCAGTGCAGGTGTGTCCATTCTTAGGTAGTGCTTAGGTGTTCTTAGATGGTGCTCTCTTGGTTTTTAAAGCTGCTCTTCAGTGTGGGTTCATAGTGGTGTGGTGCCCAGCTGAAAACCATGACTGTCTGTGCTGTCCCTTAAAAGGCTGGGTTACGGTCAGCCTGTGTGACAGGGGCTGCTGGTAGCACTGGTGTTTAGCAGAATGGAGAGGAGAAGGAACTGCTTTTTATTCCTGCGTCTATCCTAAAGGAAATTGGAGAGCAAGATGATGTGAATGATGGCTGTCTTCATTTAGGAATAGCTTGGCAGGAGATCTGACAGTTCTGAATAACAAAACAGGTCAATAAAGACATTCTCATAAAAAAGGCTAAAAATTGAATAAGATAAACCCTGTTTTGTTTCTGTTGAAGCTATTGGGGGGGGGAAACACTGAAGCAAAAAAGGGAAGGGACAACTTGATTTTGGATTTATCTTATCTGCAGTTAAGAATGAAGCATATATTCTAATAGCAGAAAGACAGCAACTTGAGAAAGCTCTGTCTCAGCTTATGTGACTGAGAGGTGGTAAGGCACAATTGAAACATGTCTGCAGTGTTGGGAGAACGCACAGCAATGACACATTTCTGGAGCAAGCATGCCTAAAGTGTTACAAAACACAGTTTAGGCTGCTAAGAGTGGTGGTTAAGCTTGCTTTAGCTGACATGTTACCATCCCAGAGGGCGGGAGGGACGCAAGAGGGGATGGTACCCCAGCACATGAGCATCTGCTTGATGCTGTTGCTTGTCAGTATGTGCAGGTACTCTGTCCTGAAGAAGCTGATTGAACATGGAGGGGTGTTTTCTTTTGGATTTTTTCGCATCTGTCAGCTTATCCAGTCTTCTTATTTTCAGGCTAACTGGTAATTAATCTATAAAAGCATGTAGATGTTTTGCTTAAAGGAACAGCTGAAAAACTTGAAATAAGTTGGACAAACCATAGGATCCAATTCCTTTTTGAAACACAGCCATGCAGCCCACCGAGATTGGTTAGATCTGTGCAGTGCTATAATAACTTTACAGCCTTTTAATGAGTCTGCTTCCTTCAGCATCTGCTCTTGTACAGTCTTTTGTCATCCCTCGCCATTAACTCAGTTCTGAAACTGGCTCTGGCTGGTTTTGCAGCCCACACCCACCCCAACTTTCATGCATCGACTTATTTGGAATGGATGCCTTGTTCTGAAATTCATGTGAATTTAGGCAGTTCGATTGCGTGACTGTGGTTTGATCTGTTATTTACTCAATTTGAAAAATTCTACAGGTTTTGGCTTCTGTGGTGTGTGATGGAGCTGGGAGTGTTTTCTTTTATAACTACCATCTTATTGATGTTTCGCTGCCTATTATCTTCATAGAATGGCCTGGGTTGGAAGGCACTTTATGATCATCTAGTTCCAACTACTCTGCCATGGATAGAACACCCTTCACTAGATCAGGTTGCTCAGAGCTCCATCCAACAGGGCCTTAAACGCTTCCAGGAATAGGGCATCCACAGCTTCTCTGGGCAGCCTGTTCCAGTGTCTCACCACCCTCACAGCTAAGAAGTTTTTCTTAATATCTAATCTAAACCCTCAGTTTAAAGCCATTCCCCCTTGTCCTGTCACTACAAGGTCTTGTAAATAGTCTCTCTCCATAGGCTCTCTTCAAGTACTGGAAGGCCACAATTATGTCACCCCAAAGCCTTCTCTTTTCTAGACTGAACAATCCTAGTTCTCTTAGCCTTTCTTCACAGGAGAGGTGCTCCATCTCTGTCATCACCTTCTCTGGACTCACTCCAATAGTTAATGTCCATCCTGTGCTGGGATCTCCACAGCTTCTTCTGGCTCTCCAGTGAATAGTTTACAAAGGAGAAAAATATTGAAGACTGATAATGTTGGAATTTTCTTCCATTTCATGTTTACCAGAATGAAGTTATGACATACTTCCAGGAGTAATTGTATTGCCTTTTAGATGCTTGTGTTTGATGCTGGAGTGTGTGAAGACATTTCAGCCATCTTGGTGTGTCCATGGCTTTTAGTTTGAAGACTGGAGCTGTACAAGTTGCAGGGGACCTTGCTGAAATTATGAGAAAAGAGTTGGAGCAAAACCTTGTCTCTATTGAAATCAATTGAATTCCCATTAGCTTGAGTCCAGATTTCATCCATAAACTTAAGTAGGGTATTTCTCTTTCTGGGCAGTCTACAGGAATGTTTCTGTCCGTTTGCATTTGTTTTCATGTTTCTTTGTAATGATTGCATAATTGGGATGTATCTGTAATGTCAGAAATGTAGTAGGTTAAGTAGCATAAATGACTGTTAGGAAGAGAAGAAACATAGAACTGCAGAACTATTGTTTCTGTAAACTTCCTGCTGCTTTTAGTTGTTTGATTTAACTATTTAGTAGACAGAGTTGTGATAAATGGCAATGATGGGTGTTTAGGCACCACTGCTAAACAAAAAGGAGAAAAAGCACCCTTTTCTTCCTGTCACTGAAAGAAATGGAAGTCACTCAGAGTGCTGCCAATGGCTTCTCAGTTGGCCAGAGACTTTGGTGGCCCTAAAGCCTTAAAGATGTTTTATGCAGCACTGATATACTCTCATGGGTATCCAAGAAGAAATGTATATTGTTAGCATTCTGTTAAAGCCGATAGCAAATTCTCGCTGTATACAGCATCAAACCTGTTCGAGTACTAAAAAAATATTTGGTATCTAAGGGACTGGTTATTACTGATTATGCTTCTATCAATGTGCCTATGTGTTTTTTTCCCTGTTACCTGAGTGTAGAATAACAATGCTTTTTAAACCTTTGCATTTTCTCCTTCTAGATCAGTGATGCATTTGAAAGGAATGTTTTCATCTTTCTTTTTTTTTTTTTTTTTTTTTTTTTTTAGGGGGGGAGAATGGGCGTTTGAAAACAATGTAAATTTTTTCAAATGTGGTTCTCATAGTGACTAAACTTCCCAGCCTTTTTGTGATTTGATTGGTATTTTAATATAATATTCCATATTTTTTCAGATTTTTACAAATGTTTCTGTATAACTGTGATGTATAACTGTAATCCACCTAACACACAGCACTGTGTCCCAACTCCCAAACCAGAGCTGAGTTGAGGATGCAAGAGCTGCTCGAGAGGAAATTTCTGTGAGCATTTTTTTTTTCTTTTTTGATTCTGAGAGAGGGGAAGAGAGGTGGTGTTTGTGCTAATGAATCGGATATAAAACCTCTTGACTGCTATCCAGTATCCTAAGAACTGTGACAGGTAACCCCCAGGTGAAAGGGTGCAGTAAGTGGAATTTGATGGATGCCTAAGGGACGGCATTTTCTGTGGTGACTACAACACTGCCTATGGCTGCTGGTACAGTTGGTAGCATCTGCCATCATGATGCTCCTGCCTGTGGGAAGAGAAGGGGCCAGGGGTCTGGTTGGCCAATTGATTCATTTTTGTGACAAAATCTTGTTGTTTGCTCCCTTAAGAATAAGCCTCTTACTGTCCTTACTCTTGGAATTCTTGTGGTCTTTTAATTGTCTCCTGGAGACATTTATTCTCCCTCATTGGTTTGTATCACTGTTATTTCTTGTCCTTTGACTAATATTTGTAACTTCAAACTTCAAGAAGGAACTTGATGTAAATTACAGATCTGTTAACAGGTAAAATGGGACATAGCTCCTATACAATAGGTCTACTACCTAGAGATCCAGTTTTTATGAGAAGATGTGTTCAGACCATCTCAACTGAGCTTTCTTAACTTGGCAGGCATAAAACGAGTAGCATGTTCCCCCTCTTCCTCTAAACGTTGATGGCCTTTCAGTGTGAAATATCACACAGTGTTTATTTTTGTGCCTTTTTAATGTTTTGTGGAAGGTTTGTTTAGTTGCCCTTCATAATTTTCAACAGGAAGTCTTTGAAGTTGTGTTGTGGATGAAAAATCCTGTTGGCAGCCTGACTATTCATTGTTGACTCCTATCTTCTTTAATTGTTCATCTATAAAAATCTGGAAGGGAGTGTGTTCAGAGAAACTGTGAAGCAATGTATATTTCTGGAAAGGGGAAATAAACGTGCAGTTAATCTCAGCTATTATTTGTCTCGTGAAAATGTTACATACTAATGGTTGCAGATGGTTTACACAAACTATACACACTGCAAGCCCTCTTCACTGGGAGCTATGGTTTTCTGTCATACATTATGCTAGAATGGAAAAGGTTTTTTTCTGCCTACAGCTATGCTTTACCCTTATTTGCTGTTGCTAGCACAAACTCTCCTTAATATGCATCTGGCAATGGTTAAAATTTTCTCCATCGGTGACTTCACATTTATCCATCTAAATTATGGATTCTCCTAAGTTTAAAAAGGTAAGGACATCAGTATGCAGGAGTCTTTGGTGGAGAGCATTACGTTTAGAAAATCAGATGTGAGGGAGGCAGAGTTAAGGTTTTGGTCTAATATTTTTATGCTCTTGTTAAACTTCAGAATCAGCTTTTATGTTAAAATGTATTTATGAGTGCATAAGCATATTGTACTTCTGTGCATATGTGCAATTGTAGACACAGTGATTGCATCATATTGTGGAATAGTCAAACAACCCTATAATGTGCTTATGTATTTTTTATTTATTGAAAACAGACATCTGTAAAATGTTACTTTGAGTTACAGTTTATACAGTAAAAATTATAAAAGGTTGCATGTGAGAGGGTAGAACAGAAGCTGGGAGTTCAGCACTCCCAGTGTAAGGGGAGTGAAAAGATTTCCATTGACTGGTTTGGTCTTAGCATATATACTACAGGCCAGTCAGCCTCACTTCTATCTATCCCTGGACAGATGATGAAACAGCTTATCCTGGATGTCATCTCTAAGGATGTGGAGGAAAAGAAGATTATCATTGTTATTATTATTATTATTAATTTTATTATTACTATTATTATTAATAGTCAACATGGATTCACCAAGGGGAAATACCGCTTGACCAATCTGATAGCCTCCTATGATGGAATGTCTGGCTGTGGATGGATGAGGGGAGAGCAGTGGACGTTGCCTACCCAGACTTCAGCAACGCTTTTGGCACTGTCTCTCATAACATCCTCATAGGCAAGCTCAGGAAGTGTGTGTTAGATGAGTGGACAGTGAGGTAGATAGAGGACTGGCTGAATGGCTGATCCCAGAGCTGTGG